CCCTGGGGAAAAGCTTCACCGTGGCTGTCGTGTCAGTTAGCCCGCCCCGTTAGAGAGACGACGCGCTGTGTGCGACGCCCGCCCAGGGCGAGCGTCTCCCGATTGTTTCCGCGCGTTAGTTTGCCGTCGCTTCCCCCGAACCCCGCACCTCCTGATGAGCACACAAAGACGAAGATCCCCCGTGATGCCTTAGCGGACTGTCGGGGCGAGTGCTGTTAGCGAGTGTCACCTACGAAAGGCGGCACCGTACCCAGGTACTCATTTTAGGCTGAGTCGACCTGGGGGGGAGGGGAGGCCCAGGACCGGTTAAAATAATCGTCACCGGTGTTGGCTGTGAGCGGGAATGGAACTCGGGTGGCCGGGTTCGTAGCGCTAACCGCTACACTACCCATAATAGAGGTTTTGTTGGGTTAGATCGTATAAATATATAAATGTGTCGTTAAACCGGCCATCACCCGACACAGCCAATTAGTAAGGTTTGTCACGTAAACAGAACATGCCAATTCGTTACGAGCACAGATTGTGTCGGGCGGTGGCGGGTTTAACGACACATTTACATATTTGCGCGATTTAACCACAAAAAACATGTATTTTTGATATTGGTCGCGAAAGCCTACGTGTCAAACCCGCTGCACCACCGCTCCCCACAATTTTGTTCAACACACACACACACACGTGCGCAAAGACTGACATATTTTTCTGACGCCATCCCCTTAGCCTCGAGGGGTGACCTCCAGATGACCTCTCTCTCTTCCTGCATCTATCAACTGCGGTGCCGCCAATCTTTCAACTCGCCCCCACCCCCCAGTCAACATTTACATTCTTGAGAAACTGCTCAGAATTAAACAAACAAAAAACGCCGCCCACGTGTACCACGTGGTAACAACGTTCCGGATCATCTTCCTTCTTAGATTGGCACCGGCGGAACGCACGGTTGTCACACAACAGTGTCTGCCGACCCCCTCCGTCCACATGTCCGTCCGTCCGTCTGTCTGTCCATGCGTCTGTCCGTTCGTATGTCCATCCGCGTGTCCGTCAATCAGTACGTGTGTCCATCCGTGTGTCCTACAGTATGTGTGTCCATCTGTGTGTCCGTCCATCAGTGTGTGTCCATCCGCGTGTCCGTCAATCAGTACGTGTGTCCGTCAATCAGTACGTGTGTCCGTCAATCAGTACGTGTGTCCGTCAATCAGTACGTGTGTCCGTCAATCAGTACGTGTGTCCATCCGCGTGTCCGTCCATCAGTGTGTGTCCATCCGCGTGTCCGTCAATCAGTACGTGCGTCCGTCAATCAGTACGTGTGTCCATCCGCGTGTCCGTCCATCAGTGTGTGTCCATCCGCGTGTCCGTTAATCAGTACGTGCGTCCGTCAATGAGTACGTGTGTCCATCCGCGTGTCCGTCCATCAGTGTGTGTCCATCCGCGTGTCCGTTAATCAGTACGTGTGTCCGTCAATGAGTACGTGTGTCCATCCGCGTGTCCGTCCATCAGTGTGTGTCCATCCGCGTGTCCGTTAATCAGTACGTGTGTCCGTTAATCAGTACGTGTGTCCGTTAATCAGTACGTGTGTCCGTCAATGAGTACGTGTGTCCGTCCGTCCGTGACGTGGGGGGCCACGATAACTCACGTGAAGTCGATGGAAGAGGGGCGAAAGGTCAGAGTGCGTAAGGTCACGCCGCTACGCGGGGACCCGGCCCCTGTTCGCTGTTGAAATACGGCACACGCAAATTTACAAGTACAGCCCTTTGTCATTCCACACCCATCATCATCATCATCATCGTCGTCGTCGTCGTTGTCATCAGCATACGTAGAATCCGCAGCCCATCATCGATCCGGTGTCGCTTAAATGAGTACCAGTTTGTGGGAAGTCCCACAAAAAAGTGGGTTTGTCGTATTAAAAAAAAAAACCCTAACGCCCGGCATAGGAATGTGGAATTTCCAGCACTGGCTAAGGGCTGCCGTTTGGAGGCTCGCAGAGCCTCGACGCTAACCGCTTTCGTGCAGAGGCCTCCGATTGAAACCCCTTGACACTTTAACGGGGTTTTATGTTAAAGGGGTTCTCACGTTTGTGCAAAAATTGAAGGCCTTCAGCCCCCATCACCACAACGACTGCAATACCAAACAACGCAAAAGTCGCATTGAATGTGGCGGCTCACCCCGCCTTCGAAAATTGCCTAAATTCCACCCCCTTAGAACGATAAAATACTCGTTTGTCGCGGCGCGAGAGGAGGAGAGATCGGGTGGTAAAGTGGTGCCCCCTACCGTTGCGTAAGGACGACAGTTCACCGGAAAAAAAAATAATTCCGCGGCTTCTGCTTCCGCGGGACTCTGAGTAGAGATTGCGCTGCCCCGCGACAGCTCCGAATGGATTTCCATCAACGCACGCTAAGAAGAAGACGCCACCGCCGCCCAACATGCGCGACCGGGATATACAATTGCAAAAGAGTGGAACAACATAAAAAAAAAACAAAATGCGATTGAACAATCGTTCGCAGTGCCCTGAGAACGATTGTTTAAGTGGTGCTTTGTCAATTAAAATTATGGTTATTATTTCGGGCACAGGGGACCGCGCACATGCGACGAAATATTACAGCGGGGGCGTGCGTGCGAGCGTGCGAGCTCTTCGAAGGCATGAAAACCCTACTGAAGATATTTCGGCGGGGCCCTCCCCATCACGAGGCAGTGTCGCTCACTGCCGCGTGGCAGCGTCTCCGTGTCGCGGGCTCGACTCCGACGGGACAATCAGAATATATAGGTAGAGAAATCGGGCGACGAATGACAAGAGTAGTTTAGAAATAATACAAATTAACGAATGCCAAAAATAGCTACGGCACAATACTGCGGGGCCTGGCCCTGCCTCTCTTAACAATCCCATACCTGCGCGGTCAAACGTCCCTTGCCTGTCCCTTGCCCACACCTACACACACACACCCACCCACACACACCTACACACACCCACACACACCTACACACACACATACACACCCACCCACACACACCCACCTACACACACCTACACACACCTACACACACCCACACACACCTACCCACACACACACCCACACCTACCCACACCCACACACACACCCACCCACACACACCTACCCACATCCACACACACCTACTCACACCTACACACACCCACCCACACACACCTACCCATACCCACACCTACCCACACCTACACACACCTACCCACACCCACAGATACACCCACCCACACACACCTACCCACACACACACACCCACACACACACCCACACACACCCACACACACCCACCCACACCCCCACCCACACACACACCTACCCACACACACACCTACCCACACACACACCCACACCTACCCACACCTACACACACCCACACACACCTACCCACACACACACCTACCCACACCCACACCCAACCACCCCTGTTGCCATCATTGTCACTCTCGCGGCCCTCCCAACTCTCGGAGGCCTGAGTGGCTCCACTCCGGTCGTCTTCCTTAAGCCGGCAGTTGGGTTATTTTTTTACATGTATATTTTAAAATATATATTTTTCATTTTATTTCATTGCGATGCTTCTAAAACTGGGCCGATATCCTGATTGCTCCTGGGCTTGCTCACTCGCTCGCTACACCAGCCACTGGCAGCAAAAAAATAAACGTGCATTTGGAAGGCCCCCCCCCCCCACCCTCTCGACGTTTCGCTGATCGTTCAGCTCCGGGCTTAAGTTTTCTCCCGGAACGTCCGCCCCCTACCCCCATCACCTGGTAGGATGCAACGCAGGTAAGCACGTGACTAGAAGCAGCTGTGGCCCACGGCGAGGGGTTGCAACGGCGGTTGCCGTTTAAGCGGCCGCCGCTTTCGCCGTGCGCTCCTGCCACGGGAATCGCGGAATTTCCCACGCCGGATTGGGGCGCCGTTCAGCGCGAATGTCTACGTGGGCGACGCGCGATCGTTTCCATCTAGGTTGAATCGGCGCACGGACCAAAGGGCTCAATTTTTGATTTAAAGCTTTCGTGACCGCAGTGATTCATATTCTTGGTTCTTTCGGTAAAGTCACGTTTTTTTGTCTTCACACCTGATGATGACTGTTTGTGTTACGGTCGAAACGCCGTGAGAATTTTATTGTTTTATATATTGTTTATTATTTTATTGTTTCCCTTCAACGTGACTTTACCGAAAGAACCAAGAATATGGATCAAAGGGCTCGTCGATGGCTTCGGACGCCGATGGTTGCGGCCAAACCTCCGTTTCTCCACCGCCGAGCTGTGACTGCGAGGTGACGCGGGTCGGGGCGGCCTCCAAACAGAGACGCCCCAAAAGAAAACAATTGCAGGGTGCCTCAAAAAACACAAAAGTGTGTAAACACTTTCACGTGCAACAATAACCACGAGAAATGTTCCACCGGGCCTCCGGAGGCCACCTGGAGCAGATTCCAGGAGTGCTCGTTGGCAACGATGGCGAACAAAGTGGAGGGGGGCTCTTTGAAGCTATTAACATCACATTTGTTATCATGTCGCAGTGTATTAGTATCCGTTCGTTTTACGTTAAAAACGAGAGTCCCCATGTAAGTGTTAACAAATTTTTTTTTAAGCACCCTTCCTTACTGAACGACTTAGCGACCCCCCCCCCCCGACCCTTCCTGACCTTCGACACATCCTTGCAGCCTCCTCCTCCCCCCTCCCCGTCCGTCCGCCACACCTGAACCACACCTGAACCACACCTGAACCACACCTGAACCACACCTGAACCACACCGAACTGGAAGAAACCCACCCACCGCCCGCCCACCCGCGACCTCGCGAGCACGAGAGCGCGCCCTTTGGCCAGAAGCGACGGGAAGCGACCGGACTCAGAGCCACGTCAGGAGGTTCTCCTGCTCCAGCTTCGAGGGGTTCAGCACCGACTCGACGTCGCTCAGCAGGTCGGAGCTCAGCGCCTCCTGCAGCGAGGGCATGAGGGAGTCCTCCCCGTCGACGCCCATGCCATCGGCGCCCTCCAACGCGCCCAGCTCCCCGGCGGTGCCCTGCACGGCCTCTAGGAAGTCGGGGAAGCGCGTCGTGGTCTGGGGCCCCGCGACGCTCGGGGGGATGGCCCCGTTGGGCCCCAGGCTCTCGCCTGCGTGGACGACCGACGGGGCGGGGTGGGGGAGGGGGAGGGGGGGGCGGAGAGGGGGGTTAAGGGTCGGCGGCGGGTTGTGCGTGTACGCGCGAATGTTGTGCGTACGTGTGTATGTGCGCGTATGTTGCACGTGTGCATGTTGTACGTGAGCATGTTGTGCCTGCGTATATGCGTATGTGCCTGTGTTGTACGTGCGTGTTTGTGAATGCGCGTGCGTATGTTGTACGTGTGTGTATGTTGTACGTGCGTACGTACGTACGTATATTGTGCGAGCGTATGTTGTGCGTGCGAATGCTGAGCTTTCGCACGGCATGTAGCCAACCGTGCCAACCGGAGGTTTGCCGCGGGGTGGCGGATAGGGGGGGGTGGTGTGTGGGGAGGGTACGGCAACGCTACCCGTGTCCATCTCCTCGACGTTGCCCAGGAAGTCCTCCGGCGTGCGGGGCAGGCTGTAGTTGCTCAGGCCCAGGCCGCTGTCCGTGCTCTCATCTCGCGAGTGGAACGTCCCGCCGCTGCCCGTCCAGATAGACAAATGCACGCACGCACGTGCACACGCACGCACACACACGCACGCACACACACGCACGCACACACACGCACGCGCGCACACGCACACACGCACACGCACACACACGCACGCACACGCACGCACACACGCACACGTGCACACACACACACGCACGCGAGACGGGCGGACGTGAGTTTCGAACGTAGATTTTTTTTGGCGTAAACCCACAACTCAACAGATGGGGGAAGTCTCATTTGGGTTAGAGATCCACGGACAATGAGATAGACAGGGAGATATATAGAGATACAGAGATACATAGAGATCAATCGAGACACAGGAAGACGCATAGAGATAGCCATAGAGACACAGCGAGAGAGATCCGTCAAGGACACACACAGAGAGACAGAATCCAGAGACATAGAGACCCGTCGAGACACAAAAAGACAAAGATCCCCCGGATAGCCTCAATACACTGCAGGGGCAAGTGCTGTTAGCGAGCACTAAAGAAGGCCGGAACGCCACACGAGGGGGGTGGGTGGCCAGCACCACACCCGGCCGCCTTTGTCTCCCCAGTGGCGATGTTTACTGCACACCGCAACCAGGCACTCATTTGAGGACGAGTCGACCGAGGGGAGGCCCAGAACCGGTTCAGATAATCATCACCGGGTGTTGGCCGTGAGTGGCAATCGAACCCGGGTTCGTAGCGCAGCGTAGCGCTAACCGCTGCACCACCTCTCCCCACAAGAGACACACACACACAGAGAGAGAGAGACGCACAGAGACCGCGCAGGTTTCAAACTCGACGTGTTCAACCGATGCAGCGACTCGAGAGAGCAGGGATGAGCCTCATGCCTGCTGAGGAAGGGGTCGGAGCTGGTGGTGATGGCGCGCATGTCCCGCGACCATCCCGGGCGGCGACACGGGGTGCTGCGGCAGAGCCTCCATGTCCATGGGGAGCTGGGTCCTCAGAACGCGCTCCTGGGGCAGAATGAAGTCGGATTTTAGGAGGGGAGGGGAGGGGAGGGAGGGAGGGAGGGAGGGAGGGGAGGGAGGGAGGGAGGGAGGGGAGGGAGGGAGGGATGGAGGGAGGGAGGGAGGGAGGGAGGGAGGGAGGGAGGGAGGGAGGGAGGGAGGGAGGGAGGGAGGATCTCTGGCAGAAAAATCCACGCGACCACGGGGAAAGAGGACACGCACACGCCACATACACAGCAAGCGTCGTCAGGGTCGGGATCAACCCCACGACCTCCTGTATACCAGGCGAGGTAGTTAACATCTCCTAGCCATGGTAATACCCCTTCTCCACCACCCCCCATATACAAGTCTTCACCCCCCACCCCCTTTACGCATGATCCCCACTTGGCTGGTAACGGTTCCCGTCACGCCGAATTTCGAATTCTCGCGGAGTTTCTGTTAACCCCCCCCTCACTCCCCCCCCCCACTCTCCCCCCTCACTCTCCCCCCCCCCCACTCTCCCCCACCCCCACTCTCCCCCCCCCACTCCCCCCCCCCCACTCTCCCCCACCCCCCCACTCTCCCCCACCCCCCCACTCTCCCCCCCCCACTCTCCCCCCCCCCACTCTCCCCCCCCACTCTCCCCCACACCCCCCACTCTCCCCCACCCCCCACTCTCCCCCACCCCCCCACTCTCCCCCACCCCCACTCTCCCCCACCCCCCCACCCTCCCCCACCCTAGCCCGCTGTCGTTCGGCCACTTGCCACTGGGTGGAGGATGCGAGCTGGGAGAAAATAAACCCCGCGGAGCCTTTCGGTGACGAGTTGAAGCGGCGAAGAGACAAACGGGGCCACGCAAAGACGCGCGTGCTGTGGGCGTGCTGTGGGCGTGCTGTGGGCGTGCTGTGGGCGTCCTGGGGAAGCCCCCCCCCCCCCCCGCCTGTTCTCTCCGATTGGCGCGGTCGTGTCTACGTACGCCGCGAAAGAAGTTCAACGCGCGATACACGAACTTTCGTCGTAATTATTGGATGATAGTACAAAAGTCCCGTTCGCCCTCTTAATTTTTTTATCGGCATCATCATTATTATTATACATGGCGTTTGACCAGCGGAGGCCCCACGGAGGCCCCATGGAGGCCCCACGGAGTCCCCACGGAGGCCCCTCGGAGGCCCCACGGAGTCCCCTCGGAGGCCCCACGGAGGCCCCACGGAGGCCCCACGGAGGCCCCACGGAGTCCCCTCGGAGGCCCCACGGAGGCCCCACGGAGGCCCCACGGAGTCCCCACGGAGGCCCCACGGAGGCCCCACGGAGTCCCCACGGAGGCCTCACAGAGGCCTCACAGAGGCCCCACGGAGTCTCCACGGAGTCCCCACGGAGTCCCCACAGAGGCCCCACGGAGTCCCCACGGACGCCCCACGGAGGCCCCATGGAGGCCCCACGGAGGCCCCTCGGAGTCCCCACGGAGTCCCCACGGAGGCCCCACGGAGGACCCATGGGCGGGGGAGGGGAAGTTCCAGGGGTTTTGCCGTCGCGCCGTTTAGAAGCCGCCAGACCTGGACACGGTGGTCCCCGAGACTTCCGCTTCGAACATTCCACCCCCCCCAACCCCCCCAGCACTAAATACTGACAGCCCCCCCCCCATTCTTCAAGATACCCCCCACCATCATTCAGACATAAGCACACTCATCCACCCACGATGATGACGACAATGTTGATAAGGACGATGACGACGATGATGGTGACGACGATTATGGTAATGACGATGCTGATGATAAAAAGACCATGACAATGATGACAATGATGACAATGACAACGATAATGACAATGATAACGATAATGACGACGATGATGACGATTATGACAACGACGAGGATGACGACAATGATAAGGATGATGACAATAATGATGACAATGACCATGGTGGTGATGACGATTATGACGACGACGACGACGATGTTGATGATAATGACCACGGTGACGGCTATGAAGAAGGCGATTGTGATGACGATGCCGATGACCAACAACCACCTCTTGACTAGCCCTCACCCCGCGCTCCCACCTGCCGTATGAGCTGCTCCTGTCGCATGCGTAGCCGGTCTTTCTCCATCTGCAGCCGCTGGAGCCTCATCTTCTGCTGCCTCTGCTGCTGCTGCTGCTGCTGCTGCGCCACCATCGCTGGGGGGCTGCCCAAGGCCATGAGCGGGGGGCCCGAGGTCGGGGGACTCTGCGGAGCCATACCCGGGGAGCCCATGCCCCCTCCGCTGGGTACCATGCGCTGCTGCTGCTGCTGCTGAGACATCACTGTGACACACGGGGGGGGGGGGGGGGGGGGGGGGGGGGGGGGGGGGGAGGGGTCAAAGGGCAGGCATCGCAATCGTCATCATCGTCGTTATCATGACCGTGATCATCATGGTCGTCATCATCATCACCATCATGATCGTCATGGTCTTCATCATCACCATCATGGTCATCATTGCCATTATCACCATCATGGTCATCATGGTCAATGTCATCGTCATCATGGTCATCATGATCATCATGGTCATCATGATTATCATGGTCATCATGATTATCATGGTCATCATCATCACCATCATGATCATCATTGCCATCATCACCATCATGGTCATCATCATCATCATGGTCATCATGATCATCATGGTCATCATCATCACGATCATCATGGTCATCATCATCACCATCGTGGTCATCATCATCATCACCATCGTGATCATCATCATCATCATCACCATCGTGATCATCATCATCATCATCACCATCATGGTCGTCATCATCATCATCACCATCATGGTCATCATCATCATCACCATCATGGTCATCATCATCATCATGGTCATCATCATCACCATCATGGTCATCATCATCACCATCATGGTCATCATCATCATCATCATCACCACCATCATGATCAGCGGCGAGTGGATATCACAGACCGGAGCACGTGGAGGAGAAGTCCACGCGACCACGGGAAGAAACACCCAAACTTCAAATATACAGCAGGTGTCAGGGGTCGGGATCGAACTCATGACTAACTGTGTACCAGGCGAGGAAGTTAACATCTCTCCGAGCCACCGTGGTGCCCCTATACGATCGAATGCGTTACGCGAGTTATTAAATAAGTGTCGCTAGTGCCAGGAGAGAGAGAGAGAGAGTGGCGGGGGGGGGGGCGGGGGACAAAGCTGATGTTTTCATTTCGCTCGTTTGCAACCGGGCAGATTCTCACCGCTCGCTCTCACGCACCCAAAGCGGCGCCCGGTTTACGCCGGGGAAATTCGTTTTTCGAGCGCAGATACGCGGCACAAAAAAAAAACGTGAAGGCAAAGATCCCCACACCACCCACCACCAGCGCGCACGCTGTTGGGGGCGGGCAAGTGCCGTCACAGCGAGCACCAAACCAATACCGATTCCAGCCGACATTCGCCACCAAGCGACGGCGAACGTCACCACGGCGCCTGCGTCAGGCTAGGTGCACTTCCGAGGCCGCGCCAAGAGTCGAGCGCCAACGCGCGCACGAGGCACGCGCAAGGTCGCTGCCACGTTTGAGCCGGAGAACACGCGAACGCGACGAAGTTGTTGTCTTTTTGTTTTAACCTCCCATCCTGTCCTCCCCCCACAGCCCCCCCTCCCCCCCTCCCCCCCCCTCCCCCCCCGCCGCCTTCGTCTGCCCCGTGAGTTGTGGCGCCCCCACAACGCACGCCCCCACAAGTCTCCCCCGGCTGGCGTCGCGCAAAGGATTCAGCCCTGCGGGCAACCACCCCCGGGGACGGAGACGTGGGTGGGGGGGGGGGAGGAGGGCATGCGGTCAGACGGGGGGACTAACAGAGCCATGCACGCACGCACGCACGGACGAATATTTGGAGTTTGCGTGTCTCTCTCATCATCATCATCACGGTGGCTAGGAGATGTTAACTACCTCGCTTGGTATACAGGAGGTCGTGGGTTCGATGCCGACGCCTGCTGTATATTTGGAGTTTGCGTCTCTCTCTCTCCCCGTTGCCGCGTGGATCTCTCTACGGGTTCTCCGGTTTTTCTCTCCACATTTAGAATCAACGTCACGAGTTTTAGGGTATTTGGCTGCGCTAAATGTCCATGCGGTGATGATAAGCCACTTCGTCGAGGCTATCATTCGTTATGGCCAGGTCGCCGCTGAACAAGAGCTACTATGTCGCTCAGTGGGCCTCACCCTTGTAAGTGTAAACAAAAAAAAAGAGTTTAGTTTAGAATGGACGGAGCGATGGACCGACAGACAGACAGACAGATGGGAGACGTGGTCCGGTGAACGGACGGACGGATGGACAAACGGACACGTAGCCACGTGGATGGAGAGACAGGCAGACAGACGAAATGGATGTGTCCCAAGTCACATGGTCGGATGGACGGACAAAGACTCCCTCCACATAGACTTAAGGCTGTTGGGGCAAGCACCGCTTGCGTGCACCTATGACGGACGGACAGACAAATACACAGACAGAAAGACAAGACGTGACAGACGAACCGATGGACCGACGTAGTGGACAGACAGACATACGGACACGTGGACGCAGTGGACGGTCACACAAATGTACGGTCAGATGGACGGACACACAGAGATGGACGGATGCGCGGACAGTTGGGGAGACAGGGAGAGACAGCCGGAGTACGGCAGGAGCAGACAGCCAGGCGGACGCACGGACAGACGGAAATCGACAGGAAGATGGTTGGACGGGTGGACAAGCAGACGGGCAGATGGAAGGACAAACAAATATACGGGCAGACAGACAGAACCAAGTACAGATGGACAAGCAATCGCACGCAAGTTGCAGAAGGGCACACGGAAGACAGCAGACACCCTGGCACCACGAGCATCCGATGTAAAGGGATAAGTTTTATTTTACAATCTGTCAAGTGAATCGTTACGGTTGGCCGGTAGCTGCGTGGGAATTTGATTTCGCGCGCAAGACAGAGCGGGGGGCGGGGGGGGGGGCGGACGGGTGACGGGGGGCGGGCGATCAGCCATGGACACAATGGCGAGGTGACAACGGGGTTACGATTTACGAAACCAGCAGAAACGTTAACCATGGCGCGTCTAATTTGTCACGTGTGCGCTGACGTTAAACAACAACAACAACAAACAAAATATCTCGATTCAAAGCTTTCGTGACTGCAAGGATTCATCTTCTTTGGTTCTTTCGGTAAAGTCACGCTCCAGCGCTGTCCTCCAGACAGTCTCGTCCCTTCACCTGATGAAGGCCGCTTGTGTTGTGGCCGAAACGTCGTGAGAATTTCATCGTGTTATTTTATTTGATCGATTTATTATTTTATTCTCATTCGAACGTGGCGACTTTACCGAAAGAACCAAAGAGAACAAAACATCGTGCGGAAAAGCGAAAGGGAGCTCAAGCCACGCTGCCGGGAGCGCTATCTTCCGCAGGAACACGACCTCCTATTAGCACGGTTGGCTACGCACGGTGCGAAAGAAGGTTCATCGTACGTACACGCGTGAATTCACTCGCGCAAAGACCCACAGGCTCACACAGGAGACCCGTAGACCCACAAAGAGACTCATAGTTTGTTGTCCTTCCCCCCCGCACTTCCGACTAGCACGGTTGGCTACGTACGGTGCGAAAGAAGTTCAACATACGTACATACATGCAACTAATGAGACCAGGATAGCCTCCGATTATCACGGTTGGCTCCCCCACCACCCCCCCTCCTCGTCATAGGAATGTGGAATTGCGACCGACTTGTTTCGTTGAAGGAAACGGCGGCACTCCCGCAAGCGAAGACATTTGTCTCCATCATTAGACCTCCTTTGCCAGTACCAAAATGTAATAATAGGGTTTTTCCCCTTTTTTCTGGCAACAAAACTGAAACCTTTTTACAAGGATTCATGTCTGGATTAACCACAATGCCTGCAGTCAAAATGCAAACAAAAAACCATACTATGATAATATATGATGCATTGTCCTTGAAACTGATTGGTCCACACCAAGGGACGGCTTTCTTTTGAGCCTCGACCCAATTGGTGCTCGTCCAGATGACGCCAAAAGACACGAATCCTTGTAAAAAGGTTTCAGTTTTGTAGCCAGAAAAAAGGGGAAAAACCCCATTATTACGTTTGTCTCCGTTAATTGTTTTTTTTTGTTTTCTTTCCTCCTTTGTTTGAAACGTCAAGAGCACGTGACTATTTGCGGGCCATTATCCACCCCCCTCTCCACCCTCCCGTCAGAATATTGTTTTAGTCATTTAGGGGTTTTTTTTCCGGGTGTTTTTTTTAAACCACTGCGGGAACAGCCCACGCCGCCATCTCCCCCTGTTATGATTTGTCGCTCCGTTTGATTCGCGCCAGACGAAGTCACGGTGACCCGCACGCACGCATGGAGACACGCACGCACGGAGACACGCACGCACGGAGACACGCACGCACGGAGACACGCAACCACTGAGACACGCATGCACGGAGACACGCAACCACAGAGACACGCACGCACGCAGAGACACGCACGCACAGAGACACGCACGCACATGCACAGAGACACGCAAGCACAGAGACACGCACACGCACAGAGACACTCAACCACAGAGACACGCACATGCACAGAGACACGCAACCACGGAGACACGCAACCACAGAGACACGCACGCACAGAGACACGCACGCACAGAGACACGCATGCAGACACATGCACGCACAGAGACACGCACGCACATGCACAGAGACACGCAAGTACAGAGACACGCACACGCACAGAGACACGCAAGAACAGAGACACGCACACACACAGAGACACGCACAGAGACACGCAACCACAGAGACACGCAACCACAGAGACACGCACGCACAGAGACACGCACAGAGACATGTACGCACAGACACACGCACAGAGACACGCACTCACACACACACGCACAGAGACACGCACTCACTCACACACACACGCACAGAGACACGCGCCAACACGCAATGCAATCACCGCCGATTCTCCCGCGGAAGTCCAACATTCTGCAAGAATTTTTTTTAAAAATTCAAAGCAATCACACGGGAACATCGTCTGCCCGTCCGACCGTCTTATTATCGCTCGCAAAAAAAAACAACTCTGATGATCGTACGGACGCACGTATGTTAAAGTTATTTCGCACGGTACGTGGCCAATCGTGCTAATCTGCGGGTGTCTCTGTGGGTCTCTATGAGCCTGGGTGTCAGTGGGTCTCTGTGTACGCACGTATGTTGAACTTCTTTCGCACCGTTCATGGCCAATCGTGCTAATTGGAGATGCTGGGGGCGGGAGGGGAAGTCAACA